TCTGAATCTGTGTGCACCTTTTAATACAGCCTCAAAAACATATGAAACAAAAACTGAGAACTAAAATAAGAATTAGATAATCATAGGAAATATTTTAACTTTCTTCTTTCAGTAACTAATAGAATAAGCAGATTAAAACAGAAAGAAATACGAAAGAATTACAAAACAAAAATCAACAAACACAAATTATCATCTATGGACATTAAACCTAATGATGGAAGAACACATGTTCTTTTCAAGTGTACATGGAATATTTCTAAATTTGGCCATATGTTGGGTCACAAGGCATGTCTCAAAACAAATTTCAATCATAAAGACTATGTTCTCTGATCTTAGTAAAATTAAGCTAAAAATTAATAACAAAAAGCTAACTAGATAATCTTCAACTATTTGAAAACTAATCAGTACATTTCTAAATAACTCATGAACAAAGGGGGAAAAAACTAAACAAAATTAGAAATATTTTTAACTACATGATAAAATAAAACATAAAAACTTGTGGGATGCAGCCCTGGCTGGTTTGTCTTAGCAGTTAGAGTGTCGGCTGCAGACCAGAGAGGCCCGGGTTTGGTTCTCACTAAGGGCACGTACGTCGGTTGCAGTTTGTCCCCAGCCCCGGTTGGGGTCATGTAGGTGGCAGCCACTCGATGTGTCTCTCTCACATTGATATTTCTCTCTCTCTTCCTCCCTGCCTTCCTCCCGCTCTATATGAGCATAAACTCAAAAAAAAAAAAAAAAAAGTCCTAGAGTGAGGATAAAAAAACAACAACTGTAGGACACAGACGAAGTTATACTTATAGGAAAATTAATAGTATTAAATGCATATATTAGAAAAGAAGAGTTCGGCTGGTGTGGCTCAGTGGTTGAGCATCGACCCATGCACCAAGAGGTTGCTGGTTTGATTTTCAGTCAGGGCACATGCCCAGGTTGTGGGTCCGTTCCTAATAAAATCAAAGATCCTCTAAAATAATAAGTAAAAGTGGTAATTCCTAACCACTTTTAGACAACAAGAAAAAGTATAAATCACTGATATTGGGTTTGAAAAGGGGTACTTCCTTAGCTCTACAAACATCACATAAACATAGTATGAAGATATTATTTTAACTGGTTCCATATGTAGACTTTGCTACTGTGGAAAGTTTATGCTTATTAACCCAAGCAAGTTAATTCAAGTTAATTTAGCACTTATGTTTTGGGGAGTAAATCAATAAATTGGCATTCCAGTTGCTAAACTGGTAACTTTTTAGGTTAGTTAGAGTTACCCAGTTCTACAGTGTATGAAAAACCCCGTGCAAACTAACCAAATTGAGTGTTTGTACATGCAAAGCAGACCAGCCGTCAGCCCCAAAGCTGTCCCAGACAATGGGCGGGTCAGCTCTAAGTCCCAGCTGAATTCTCTCTGTTGAATTAGTAATTTGTACATTTCCTCGGTTGTATGTGCACATAAGATCACCTCTTATGATATTTATATCCTGCGTGTAGTCGAATTTCACCCAAAATCACGGGGCAGGAAAAGGCATGTTGGTGTATTCAGGGAAGAACACCTTTCCTGGTTACAGAGCAGGGAGTTTGGAGAGGAGCCGAGGGGAGAGGCTGGCTGGACAAACGGGTTTGGTTCCAGCTGTGAGAGGTCTGGGCACAGACATCTTCCTCCAGACATGTGGGACCCACTGAAGGTTCCCAAACACGGGTGTGACGCAGCAGACTTACAATCCTGAAAGCACACAGCACATTCAAGGACCTCTCAAGCTAAAGACTATGCATCTTATTTCCTTTCCTAGGTTATAAGTAAGAGATATATGGAACCCTCAAACTATTTTTGATTGATAAATTGGTTGATGGAGTCTTCCTCTTATAAGTAAACAAGCCAACTTGCTTTATACAAAGTGCCGCGGAAGGTCCACTCGTCAGCTCTCTTCCTGCAGGAGTTTACGATATAGTAAGGAGATAAGATTATCCACATAATACAGAAAAGAACTAGACCAGGAATAACAGGACATAGATTCTAGATACATCTCCTGCATGTTAGTGGTTTATAAAACAAATATTTACTCAGCACCTGTTACATGTCAGATATCTGCTAGACTTTGGGTGCACAGTGATGGGTGGAATGGGCATGGGCTTTGTGCTCATGAAACTTACGTGTCCGGTGGAGGGTTGAGATAGCAAATAATCACAAAAAGTCATTGAACAAATATGTATTCGGTATCTAATATTGGTCAGGCACTGTTTTAGGTGCTTCAGATCATGATGAAAAAGCAGACAGAGATCTATGCCCCTTGGGGTGTACATAATAGTGGGAGAAGACAGAAAATAACCTCTCAACATGATAAATGAGTGATGTATATATCTCATTAGAAGATGATAGGTGTTATGGAATATGTAACAAAAACTCAGGAAGGGTTTTCAGTAACAGGGAGGAGCTAACAGGGAGGAGCTCAGATAGGTAGTCATAAAACACAATGGCCAGAGTGGTGTCACGGAGAAGGGGAGGTATAAGAAACATCTTAGAGGAGTTTGGGGAATTGACTATGCAGATACCCAGGGGAAACATATTCTGGGCAGAGGGAACAGCCAATATCGATATCCTAATATGGGAGCATTCTGGAGTGTTCCAGGCATAGCCACAAGGCCAGGTCATCGGAAGCAGGGTAAGCAAGGAGGAGAAAAACAGCTATAGGGGAGCTGGGGTGGATTTTGTAGGGCTTCGTGGACCATTGTAAGGAGTTTGCCTTTTCCTGAGGGAAATGGGGAGCCATTGCAGGGGGCTGTGCAGAGAATGGTATGCCTGACTTACCTAGTAGCAGGATGACTGGTTTCATGTTATAACCTGTAACTAAATCATGATGGGTGTGTCCTGAGAAGGGATAGAAGGGGCCCAAATTTATGAAATGTCTGTGTGCTCTTGGGCCTTAAGCTGAACCAGCCCTGCTGGCCCACTGGGTCAGCACAGCGAGACTTGGTAGGCTGCGGGCACAGGCACAGGCTTAGAATAGCATGCTTCGGTAACAATGTCGAATGGCATGTAAGCCCGTGCCCGCTATGAGTCCCACATGGACGTGTTTTAGCAGAGAAGGCACATTTTCTTTATTATTAATATTATTTTGTTAATCTTCACCCAAGGGTACTTTTCCATTGTTTTTTAGATAGAGTGGAAGGAAGGAAGAAAGGGAGGGAGGGAGAGAGAGAGAAATATCGATGTGAGAGAGACACATGAATTGGCTGCCTCCAAACGACCTCAACGAAGGCCAGGATCAAACCCACAACCCAGGTACATGCCCTTGACTAGGAATTTAATCCGATACCCTTCAGTCCTCCAGCCCACACTCTAACCACTGAGCCTAACCAGCCAGGACAGGCACACGTTCTTAAAAAGAACAATAGCACATGAAAGGGGTGAAAATTGGTTCTTGGGGGACAAATACCTTTTTCTCTGCATAAAGCACAGACCACATTCGGTATGGAAACAGATAACCAGTATATCTGCAGTTCTTCAACTTCACGGGGAAAATATCTAGAAAGGATCTTTTGGGGCCCAGTGGGGCGAAGGGGGGAAGGGTGTGATCCTGAAAACATGTTGGAAAATGCTGACTCTGTGGACTTGGACCACTCGCTTCCCCTTTCAAGGTTAGACGGAAGGATCTCCCAAGTTTTCTCCAGTGCTAAAATGATGAGGAGCTGTTGAACTGGGACTTCATTCAGTTATAAACACCTGATTCTGGAAACCATGGTAATTTATCAGGTCTTTGGACCTATCAAACCTCACTTTTCAATAAGATAAGGGGTTTGTGTCAACACCCTTGAAAGACTGTCTCTGGCCTCTTTCCCCTTATCTATTCTTTGAGCTAGAATTCTAGAAATACTGCTTTGGTTCATTCCATCAGATTTCTGGATACGATATTGGAACTAAGGGTACAATAGAGTTTTGTCAATCAGATGTTCACCAGATGCTTTGAAAGCTGTCAACTGGAGTTGCATTGCTGCTCAATGTTCACATGATTTCTCGACATTAAAGTCCCTTAACAGTTCATCTGGGTTTTCACTTAAAAGAGAAAGATGTACGTGATGTGGTGATGGGAAGTAGGAATGAACAGAACAGAGTAGCAGATTGGAAAACAAAGAGCCTGTATATTCATGGCCTCTGTAGATGACATCTTCTAGGCAAATTATTGCACACAGTTCTTTGCTGCTTGAGTCAGACATGGGCCATTTGCACACAGCAAACTTTGAATAGTTTATTCTGTGTCCATTAGGGTTTTAGTGTGTCTTCCTGGCCCTCCAACTATACTTAAAAGTCCCTTGAGAATAGAGAATGTATCTCCTGGCTCACGTGTTTAGTGCTCAGTTTGGTATCCTGTTTATAGTAAAATCTTAGTGAATGTTGGTTGACCGTGATGATCCCCCAGATTTAAGAGGGAAAATTAAAACTCAATGCCATGAACCTTGGAGTCCCTTATTTTTGGTGGTCTTGACTGATGTGCTCACAGGCCAGAGCATTATCTTTTTTTCCCTTCTGCCATTTAATCACCTAGTGTTGTTCCCAGATAAGAAATTCAAATAGAGTTTATTACCTAACTGGAGTACATATAACTTATTTATCATTGGGTTTCAACACTCAATTGTTTTGTGTAATGAATTCAGCTACAAATAGATGTTTCCATTGTGAAGAACTGACTCGCGGGGACTTCTTGACTGTTGTCGACATTTGGGGGCAATTGGAAGAGGGAGCTTCACTGAGTGACAAATAGTGAAATAGTCAGAATTTTCAATGTGCAAGAAATGCAATTCAACCTCTAGTCGATCCAAAGAATCTGGGAGTTACTGGCAATGAGGGAAAAATCTCTGAGTCGAGTTGAAAATACCCTTAGGAGAGAAGGAGTTAACTGAGTGTGTAAGCTTTATCTTGTGGCCAATGGACCTGGGTTTGCTGAGTAAAGTCTCCAGTAAATGATTGTTAGAGACCTGTCATTCATAGTTGTTGCTGGTTTCTGTGTTTCAAACGCCTGTTGACTCCCCAGCAAGGCAGTACAGTATCCTCCATCCCTTCACCCACTTCAGATCTGCTCAGGTCTGCTTGCAAAAGGATCTATCAGATACCTGAACATGAACGACGAAGACTACAGCACCACTTATGACACAGTGCAAAAAGAGAGGGAGTATGAGGTTCCAGACCAGCCAGCAGAAAATGAAGGTGCCATTTATGATAAAGTCCATGAAGAATTGATGTCAGAAAACACTTTATATGTCAATGAGCTGCAAACCCATGAATATGATTCTGTATCAGTTTATGCTGTTGGGAGTGAGGAGAACAGCTTGGCCTTTATCCAACCAGAAGCAGAAGACTACCTCCTGCCTGATGAGGTATATTCTGAGGCCCAGGATCCTCAACCAGGTGAACCCCAGGAAGACGGGGACATCTTGATGGAAGAATTACACTCACCAACTCAGGACCAGGAGATGAGCCCAGAAGAGCCACAGCAGAACAGAAGCAGAATGCTTCCTCCTCCAAGCTTCACCGTCCAGGAGAGCAGTGACGATTCTCCCACCTGCTATTCTGCAGATGATGGTTTTGATGATAGCAAGTCACCTTCCATGAACCCTGAGATCAACCTCTTCATGAAGGTAAGGGTGCCTCTGGCAAGCACACCTGCACATGCAGATGGCATCATTGGTGTTTCATTTTGCCCTGAGTGACCAGGGAAACATGATGTCAGGGTCCTTGGATCTCAATTCATAGGCAAAAGTAAGGCTAATTAAATTAGTCATTCCAGGGGTTCACCCAGATGGCTCAGAGCTGCAGGAGCTAGAACATGCATCTGACATATGTGCTAACCACTGGCTGTTATATATGATGGGTAAAGCATTTTTTAAGAGTTCACTTACCAGTGAGCAGAGATTGCTGCTCAAATCCTTACCTTGTGATAGAAGTTAAGTACATTTTCCCATCTGGTAAATTGCCTTCATCAGCAGAATTAAAAAGAAACAAAACAAAACAAAAAACCAAGACTTGTGAGAAGAAGACACATCTACAGTCAGGTGCTGAAGTTTCTTTCTTAACGTTTCTAAGGTCACAGGTACTTCAGATAAATGGCCAATAAATGTTACCTCTGGCTCTGAGCTTGGCCTTTTGGTCCCAATATAACTAAAATGTCTGTCAAAGTAAAATGGTTTCAGTAATAGTAAGACACTAATTATCTGTGTTAATATTTAACACATGATATTTGAGCAAAGAACTTTGGTGATCTTTGTTATTAGATTGATATGCAATGATTGTGGCTATGATAGTATTAAAACATAAAAAGCATTTCAGGACTGAAATAATGACCTTAGTTAATCAAGATGTAGAACATTTTCCCCAACATTCCTCCCCCCACAATATTCTTACTTGCATGTTTTTTTTTTAAATATGAAGACGACAGATTAGTCATACTGCTATTTTTTAATAATAACAATGATTTTTCTATGAACCTATAAAATTCCACTTCACAGTCATTTCTCCCCTTCCTGATTTCCAAAAACAACTCGAGTAAAATACACCTTCTTTACTAATCCAGTGCATTATTATTTTCTACTCTGTACTGTTCTCTAGTGGTTTTGTGTGTAGATTGGGTCTCCTTTATTCTACTACAAGGTCTTTGTTAAAAGCAGCTAGTAGAGCCCAGCCGGTGTGGCTCAGTGGTTGAGCGTCGACCCATGCACCAAGAGGCTGCCGATTCGATTTCTGGTCAGCACACATGCCCAGGTTGTGGCCCGATCCCCAGTTGGGGGCATGCATTGGGGGCAAGCAGGAGGCGGCCAATCGATGTTCTCTCTCATCAATGTTTCTCTCTCTCTCTCTCTCTCTTCTCTTCCTCTCTCTCTAAAAATCAATTTTAAAAATTAAAATAAAATAAAAACATCTAGTAGAGTGTTTGGCTCATACTTCGGTACCCAAAAAGCTTGCCTGCATTATACTGAGCATTTGTGGGGGGGGGGGGGAGACAGGGCCCTCGCTCTCAAGAAAACACCCGTGTTCAGGAGAGAGACTCGCATGTGGCTGAATTTGGTGGAGAGAGGACTGAACCCAGTGCCGTGGGTGTTCTGGGAGGGGTGGGGGAGAGGACCTCGGAACAGGTGCATTCAAGCAGCCTTCCAGCCTCCATACCCACATCACCGTTGTATTCATTTCCAAGAAAAATCCATTTTCTGAGAAGTGAGGACTAGGTGTATTTGTTATTGGAACAGGAGCATCCCTGCCATAGCCAATCATCATCATCATCCTTAGCACCAGGACAATTATTTGCAAATTTGGCAAAGAGTTGATTTCACCAGAAATGAACCTGTCACTGGTGTTGAAGCAAACAGAAGTTGGGGAAAAAGAGCTCCTGGCATCTCCAGTTGGTACCAGTGACAGGAAGAACTCAGGAGGGTGACGTGTGATTCTTAAATTATTTGTGATCTGTAGTACCATCAAGCAAACATTGGATTTAATTAACTTTATAGGTGGGCATTCTTTCTAGGAGAGTTATGTCAGCAAGGCGTGACAGAGCACACCATCGACCTCGGCTCCTGTGTGGACTCCTTTGTAAGGATGTTCAGCAGAGCTCAGGAAGAAGAGGGGCAGTTAGAATGCCTGACCCTAAGCCCCCATCCCCTCTGCAAATCTTTATTATGTTGGATGGAAATGGGTAAAATGGGCTGTTCTGCTTGAATGAGAGTGGAGGGCCTGAGTTTATTTGGAGCCCCCAAATATGATGGGGCTCTGGTGTGCTTACCATGTACCTAGTGGGACTCGTTACTGCTGTGTTAGTGTAGACGGCGTGGGCTGTGTCTACACCTTCACTCATTTGTGTACGTTCCCACCTGTTCTAGCCCAGACAGTGAAAATGTCGCACAGGCTTGTAACCCTATGTCCAGCCAACATTTTACTGAGGCTCAGCCCTTTCAGCGTAGTGGCCAATTATGTAATTGAAATATATCTTTTATTTATTCATTCAGCATATAGTTATCGTGCCGGGCCCTGGGTTTACAATCATAAAAAAAACACAAAAAAACCACAAAGTCCTGGCCCCCACGCACTTCACGTTCTAGTGGCAGAGACAACTGCTGGACAAATAAACAAGTAAATATTAAATATGTCCATGGTCATAGTGCCATAAAGAAGCACAGAGCAGAATAATGGGTGGATTAATTTTCTGTTGCTGCCATCAATTACCGCAAGCTCAGTGGCTTGGAACAACACGAATCGAGCTCACATGGTCCTGGCGGTCAGAAATCGGACGTGAGTTTTGAGGAGCTGATACCAAGGCGTCCAGCAGGGCTGTGTTCATCCTGGGGGCTCCAGGGGAGAATCTGCTTTCTCCCCTCCTCTGGCTGGAGGGGCCCCTTCTCCTCACTCGTGCCCACATCGCATCACTTTGCATGCCGCTCCCACCCTTACTGGGCCCTCTTCTGATCGGACTGTCCAGCGTCCCTGTCATAAGGAGTCTGGTGACCAGTTTGGGCCCACCAGGGTAATCCAGGATAATCTTCCCGTTTTAAGAGTCTAAATTGAATCATATCTGCAAAGTCCTTTCTGCCACAAAAAGTAACGATCACGGATGCCGAGAACTCGGGCACGGGCGAGTTTGGGAGCTGGTCACCTTCCCGCAGTGGGCTGGGTGCTGGTGAGTAAGGACCAGGAGCAGCGTGGCTGGGCGGGGCGAGGGCGGCAGGTGAGGGGCAGCAGGCGGAGGTGGGCACAGACCGTGTCGGGCCTCACGCCATGGGGAGAACTTTTACTCTGAGAGATGTGGAAAGTCATCAGGGGGGTTCGGAGGGAACCCGTCTTTTGATACCAGAGAAAGGGCAGAAGCCGGGAGCGCGGTTTGAGGACAGCTGGAGAACGAGGCAGGAGGTGCCAGCGGATCGGCCTGTGGTGACAGCAGGAGGGACGGGAAGTAGGATTGGGGTCGTTTTGAAGAGAGAGCCCGGAGGCTTCGCGAGGGGTTGATGTGGAGTCGGCACCGCAGAGAACGCAGCCAGGACTCGCTCTAGGGGTGAACCTACCGAGTGGATAAGGCGTCCGTCTCATTTCAGCTATGGACCCCGTGTCCAGGAACATAGGAGAAAATGCGCCCATACGTCACTCAAGCACCTTCCTCCCTTTTTCCTTCCCTTCTCTCCTTCCTTTCTCCTTTCCATCCATCCGTTGACAACATACCTACTAGATACAGGTGCTGAGTAAGGGGTGAACACCGCACACCTTCGGTCCAGGTCTCCTGTGGGGAAGACACACAATGCTTGAAGACAAGAGGAAAGAAGTAATAGCTTCCTGGTCACTGGCTGGCAGCCAGCTCTCCAGGGAGAGTGTCCGTCCCCATCACAAGGCAACCAGGAGGGGTTGTTGGTTCAGAACTTGCCACATTCAATTGTGAGACTTGTCCTGCTGCTTTCTGCTACAGTCGAGGGACCTGTAGACATTTTTCTAATTGTGTTTGTATGTGTATGTATGAGAGAGAGAGAAAGAGAGGAGAGGAGAGGAGCAGTCTGGTATTTTGTTTACTGCAAAGGAGAAAACTATTCTGACAATGGTTACTGCAAAGAAAAGTGGTACAATGCACACCGTCTGCCCTGCACACCGTTGTCATCACTGACTTGAAGGGCAGTACACGTGGCAGAGCAGGTTTTGATGTCCGGTTGCACGGGTTTGAGCCCTGGCTTAGAAGTTAATATCTATTAAATTGTTTTGCTTCTCTCAGCTTCAATTTTCTTATTGGTAAAATGAATGTTGTAATGATATGTTCCTTCAGGGTTGAAAAAGATTAAATAATTCATGTAAATTGCTCAGCATAGTGTGTGATGTATAGTAAATGAGCAGTGTGATGTTGTGGAAAGTGTCACAGAATTGTCAATAATGATTGTTGGTGTAGCATAAGGGATCATGGTAACCAAAACAGTGTTCAGTATAATGCATGGGATATTAGAATATTATCATTACAATTTTAAAATTAAGCAATATTTCTATTTCATTTTGTCTGGTCCTCTTAAATGTTAACACTTTATATATTTTATGATGTGTGCAGTGAATTCTTATAGTAGTATATTAAAATAATTTGTAAATGGTCTGGCTGGTGTGGCTCAGTGGTTGAGCATCGACCCATGCACCAAGAGTTCTCCAGTTTGATTCCCAGTCAGGGCACATGCCCAGGTTGTGGGCCTGATCCCCAGTGGGGGGGCACGCGGGAGGCGGCCAATTGATGTTCTCTCTCAACGATGTTTCTATCTCCTTCTCCCCTCCTCTCTCTCTAAAATCAATATTGGAAAATTTTTTTAAATTTAAAAATATAATAATAATTTGTAAATGAATAAATAGACATATATTGTGGGTAAAGGCTTAAGTTGTATATTTATAGGGATGCTCAATTTTTAAAAAGAAGTCCCGTTGACTCAGCCTGTGGGCACCATCTGTGGGCCTGGGGCGCTTTCCTTGACCAAGATTGGGTGAGCCCAGTTCCCCTCACCTCCTAGCTATTTGCCGGGAGTTTTCATAAGCAACACTTTTAGTGCATTTGCCTTGGAGGCAAACAGAAATGTATCATTGCCGGTGAGAAGCTGTATAATCCCCCTGAGGAAATGAGGGGAAGTGAAGCTGGGTTCGGACA